AGCAGCGAGTCTGCCCCCACTGCCACGACGGCATTGAAGATGCCCCCCACATGCTGCTCACCTGCCCCCTTTACGCCCCGCTGCGCCTCAACTTTCCTGACCTGTTTGCTGAGCCCCATCCTCCCCACCGCTTCCTCCGCCAGAAACCGTGCCGCCTCGCCGCCTTTGCTGCCGCCTGTCACCAGCGCTGGCTGACCGCCACCGTTGCGCTGCCTGCAGTCCCGCCCTGAACCCCCACTCTCATGTCCACCCCCTTTGCTCTTACCGCACCACACCTGCTCCACGACATGCAGTACTGCCTGCCCGCTCACACACTAAACGCTCGGTGACCTGTCAGTTGGCCTGTCCTGCCTGTTGTTCTACTGCTTCATCCCTCCTTGCTCGAACAACAAAGTCTGTGCTGCAAGCTTGTTCTTGCTGAAACCAGACTGTAAGCCCACACAAGCCCGGTGCGCAGCTGCGCCAGCGCCTCGCGGTCCTGCCGACGCCGTACTGCATCCAGGTAGGTCTCGCGCTGCCCAAACATGGCGGGCGCCAGGTTGAGGGCGCCCACCACGTTGTGCACATAGTGCTCCAGCCGGCTGGCGCCGCCCTTCGCCAGCGCCTCCTGGAGCTGCGCCAGCTGGCGGCGCTGCGCAGCTTCCCCCAGCTCGCCGAGGTCAACAGGTGCTGGCTGCTGCAGGTCCAATGCTTGGTTGCAGTGATGATCTCAATCTTGCTCCCTATTTTTCACCTGGTTAAGATAATTGGAATGCTGATCAATCCAGATCTGTGCAACACAAAGCCATCACAAGACGTTACGGCAATTTCCACACAATGACTGCATCATGCTGTGGCGGCCAGCAAAGGCCAGGTCACAACCATTCTTAGTCACCTGCAGGGGAAATCAGGGGAAACAAACATCCCGTGCCATATCTGCTGGCCCTGGGCCAAGAGCGCGTGCACGGCAGCAGTACGGCGGGGTACAGCGGCGGCGCCGGCAGTGGCGGCATACAGAAACGCCTCTGCGTGCCATGTTCATGTCATGAGTGGAGGTCGGGGCGCCGGTTGAATGATGAGATGAAAGTCAGGAGAGAGCTCGCCAGGCCGTTCTCCTCTCTAAAATTGGCAACTGCAACGATAGCTGTGGTGCGTGCGGGCTGGCGCTAGCACCGGCAGTGGTAGCAAGCAGCGGCGATATTAGAACGAGCGCTGGTAGAGGGGTCAAACAGCGGGCGGGAGGCGGCTGGCAGCGCTGGAGATGCTGCCCAGTGTGATCGTCCAACTGTGCGCTGCCCCCCTATATGTGCAGCTGCTTATTGTGGTGCTACTTGCAGTAGAGTTCGAATTCTCCAGTAAAGGCAGCTCCCGTCAGCTCTGCATCAGGTGGGCTCCGCGCTTTGCACCAGAGACATCCCCCTGCTGTCATGCAACACTGCCCACGCAGGCCCTCTACACGACGCATTTGCCTTGGGGGCGGCAGGATCCTGTCTCAGCACGTGCCAGCCCTTTGCCCTGCGCAGGATGGCATTGGGCGTGGCGCGAGCTGGGCGGCAGGCACTTGGCCCCGCTGCCCCGACCCAGCAGCCCCAGCCCCGCCAGCTCCATGTGCTGACCGTGGTGACAGACGCGGGCAGCGAGCACCTGCAGCGCCTGACGAGGGTTGCCGGCAGGTTTGGGCACCGGGTGGATGTGGCGGTGCCCTCCGGGCCCGTCTCCTACAACGCCGGCTTTGGCTTGAAGCTGGAAGCCACCCACCGCTACCTGGCCAGCCTCGCCGCCGCCGAGGACCTGGTACTGTTTGTGGACGGGTATGATGCGGTGGTGGCGGGGACGGCGGCGCAGATTGTGGGGCGGTACGAGGCGGCGGTGGGCGGGCGGCGCGCGGTGCTGTTCAATGCAGAGACCCACTGCTGGCCCTGCAACTTCACAGAGCTCAACAGCTACCCAGAGCCGCCGCCGGGCCTGGGCCCCACCTGGCCCTACCGCTACCTCAACTCAGGGCCTACCTGGGCCCCGCTGGCCTGCTGCGGGACCTCATCGCTGCCAACCTTGACTTCTCCGACCCCTCCTTTGTCAAGACGGACGACCAGCACTTCTTCCACACCCTCCTGTGGGGCAACCCCGCCGCCATCCAGCTGGACTACCGCTGCCAGCTGTTCACCGCCGCCTTCACGCGCGCCGACGACCTGGTGTGCACGCCGCGGGGCTGGCTCAACAACCAGACGCAGACCTACCCGCTGGTGGTGCACCACAACGGCCACCCCAAGCCCAAGCTGGAGCGCATGCTGGCCAGCCTGGAGCAGGCGGGCAGCGACATGCGCCTCGTGTGCCCCGCCGATGAGACTGTCGCTGCGGCTGCCGCTGACAAGCCGCCGTGACTGTGGGCCACATTGAGGCAGGTCTCACTCTCTGTAAGAAACGGGATTCTGACAAGCCCACCAGGGACAGCTCTGGGCAGCTGCCTGGGATGCGGAGGCCCAGATGGATGGTGTCCACTGTCTCTCACCAGCCTCCGTGCCTGCCCGCCTTCCTGCCAAGCCAGTCGGCTACCTGCCTACTCAGCAGCTCAGCTCAGGCCGGTCCTTGCCACGTCGCGGTAGCAGTTAAGGTTAGAAATAAGAAACAGGAGCCTTGTGCATGCCAATTAGAGCACCCGCGCACGCCTGCCCCACCCCCAGATACAAGAAAAACAACAACTACAATCACTACCGCCTAGGCTCCTTGAACGCAGCGATGAGCTGCCTGCTGCCCGCCAGCGCCGGGATGGTGTGGGAGTGAATGGCGCGGTGGGCACGGGCTGCATCCTGGATACGCCTGCGCATGGAGGGGACAAGCCCAGGAGGTGAAAGCATGGATCACTGCCGGCCGCAGCACACGCACCTGCACCAGTGAGAATGCCCAGGGCTGCACACACCTGAACTGGACGAAGCAGAAGAGCTCGCCGCCATCCTCGCCGCCACCCAGCATCAGTTCGGTCAGCTCGCCATACCTGCAAGCAGGGCAGAGGGCGGGGGTTTGCTGTTTCCACGAAGAGGAGCAGCCACACCAGCAGCGACAGGCCACCCCCACAGCCAGAAACACACACACACACGAGCGGAAGTCACCCAAGATGAACCCCTCCCTTCTCAAGATGAACCCCTCCACACACACCGGCTGAGCTCAGTACGAACATCCTCCTTTTTGGTATTACGAGGGAAGTAGCCGATGAAGACACGCGTGGTGGGCTCTTCCATCACATCGGCACGTCTGCAAGGCAGGCAGCGGCGCAGCCAAACCAGCGGGTGTGATGGGGCGCGGCCCTGGCTCCGAGAAGCAGCCGCCATGCCATGCGGCTTGAACATTTGGCAGGCGCATGCACCCCCGCCTCACTTCTTGGCGAGGTGGCGACGAATCTTATTTAGGTTTCGAAATTCCAGCTTCAGCGGCTCGCTGCCGCTGGCACTCAGGCCAGGAACCTGCACACACGCCAACATTCCATGCGATGTGAAAACGTGGAGTGCCGGATCGCAGGGCCGCATGCCGTGCTGGATGGCGCTATGGGCTGGCATCTGCTGTAGATGGCAGCACCCCGGCGGCAGCAGCAGCAGCAGGGGCGGCAGCAGCAGGCGGCAGCAGCAGCAGCATTTGGCGGCAGCGGCGCCGGGCTGGCAGTCTTGGGGCGCGCACCGAGGTGCCGTTGACCGCCTCCAGGCACCGCTCGCCGTCGTCGCCCTTGGCAAAAGTGAGGAAGCCGATACGCTGCTTGGGCACGACTGATGTGTCCACCAGGGGGCCAAACCTGCAGGCGAGGCGGGCAGCCATGGCGGCAGGTAGACAGGCAAGAACAGGCAGGTAGACAGGCAAGGACAGGCGGGGCAGCATCAACTCAGCCGTAATCGCCGCCTCCCAGCCATCAAGCTGGCCCGCAGGCCACCGAACAACCGCAGCGGCCTGCGGGGCGGGGCGGCGGCTTACTTGGAGAAGGAGGTGCGCAGGTCGTCTGCCGACAGCCCGGGCTTCAGGTTCTGGATGTAGATGCGGCAGCGCTCATCTCGCTCCCACTCGGGCGCCATGGGCGCACCCCCAGCCGCCGGCTGGGCCTTCCTGGCTGCCGGCTGCCCGCCGGCGGGGGGCGCCTTGGCAGGCGCCGCAGTCGCCACGCGTGCCCAGGCGGTGGTGGTGCCGGCAGCGGGGCCGGGGGCCGGGGCAGGCGATTGCCAGTCTGGCGGCGGCAGCCAATCGTCAGGGTTATAGTCGCCAAAGGCGGGAGGCTCGGGCAAAGCGGCGGGAGCAGGCGGAGGAGCAGCGGCCGGGCGCGGAGCACTGGCATCGACTGAAAACGGGGCGGGCATGGGCACAGCAGCGCCGCTGGCAAACGCGACCGCCGGGGCGGCTGAGGGCGCCGTCAGCGGCTGGGCCGCGGGAGCCTGCAGCAGGCCGGCAGCAGCATGAGCGCTGGGGCTACCATGCGCTTGGTGGCGAGCTGCTCCGAACTCCCCCACATTCAGCGGCGTGCATGTGGGGACATTGCTGGCCCTCGGCTGAGCCAGGAGCCTCCGCAGGCTCCCCACAACCAGACTTCCCTGCATCCCTGCTGCTGCCCCCAGCCAGCACAGCGTACCTGTGGCGGCGTGGTCTGCGCCTCGGCCAGCGCCGATAGCGCCCTGGTGGCGGCGCCCACATCTGTGGGCCTCACTTCCAGAAAGGTGCCGGCATACGGGTGGTCGTTGAACAATTCCACAGCACTGGCAGCGCTGGCGGGGGTGTCAAACCACAAGATTGCGGTGCAGGGGGCGCCGTTGGCGGCCGGAGAGATTGTGGCCGCCTGCATCACGGTGCCAGCGGTGGAAAAGAGGGCCAGCAGCTCGTTGCAGTTGGTGTGGGCATCGATGCCGTCCACCTGCGGGCGGAAACCAGGGCGGGGCACAAGGCAGGGTGCCCAGTAGCAGGCGGGGCACAGAATCGCAACACAGTGGGCGGTGGGCAGAGGGCAGCGCCGCCGCCGCCATGGCGGTCAACAACTGCTGCAGTGCTAGATGCCTGCTGACATTGTGGCGCCACTGTTTAGTTTTATCAGAGCAGTGGCGACGGGCAGGCAGCACCGGCTGTCCATTGCCAACGCCGAGCCCGAACGCAGTGTGCTACGACGCCAGATGATGGGCACAGGCACAGGGACTTGCAGGATCGCATGGCAGCAGCGGAAGCAGGAAGCCTTTGCAACCAAAAACCTGTGCTCACCAGGACGGCGCAGGACCCCATTGCCATTCAGTAGCGAGTCCACAAATTGATCGACGGTATTGCAGGCACAAGGAGACACCGAAGCCCTTCTTTGGCAGGTCAGTACTTTACGGGTTTGCTCTGCACGCCAGCAAGAGCCCGGATCAGTCGCTGCTCCGTCAAGCCAGAAGCATGTCCACCTCATGGGGTAGCGGCAGCTGAGAGCAAGATGGCATGGGCCCGCGACTACTTGACGCTGGGGCTGCTGATAGCCTTGTTCGTGACGGAGGCATCGCTCAACGTGTTGCCAGCTATCTCTCATGTGTAAGCCAGCTCGCACTGCCCCTCCGCCGCCACCACCGCCGCCGCCGCCGCCGCCTTGCCGACCCATTTGCGCTCTCTCAGCAGGTCTACTGTGCCCATCTCGGCTAAGTGCCCCCAGTGCCCAGAGGCTAGTGGCGGCACAGCCGAGGCGGATTCAAGAAGCAAGGGGCCTGCTGCAAGTGCCGCTGCGGAAACACAAGCAGGTGGAAAAGCAGCCGCCTGTTCGTGTTGCCACCAACCTACCGCTGATGAGCAGTGCGCACAGTCGGGAGGTTGCCATCTTCCGTCACCTCTGATGTTGCCTGCATGATGCAGGCATGGTGCCCGTACCACCCAAGCCAAGCAAAGACTCCTTCCTTCGGCTGGAGGTGTGTGGTTGCATGCGTGCGACATACCGTGCAGGTGGCCAAGAATAGCCATGGCTTGGAGCAGGCGGTGGCGCCTCCCGGCTGCTGCCTCTGCTTCTGCGGGGTGTCCCTCATCCGCCACCTCGGCTCCTGGCCTGCCCTGCCCTGCCTGCCTAGCCTGCGCGCATGCTGTGCCTGGCCTGCCCTGCCTTCAGGCCGACCCCAGCCTGGCGGGCAAGGAGCCTGACCTGGTGGCGGAGTTTGAGGCGGCGCCCTGGCTGCTGCCGCCGCGGTGCGATGCGCTGCCGTATGCGGGGGTGCGTGACCTGGACCGCCTGCTGCAGCTGCGGGCAGTGGCGGCGGGAGGGCACCCCAAGACCATCACCCTCATCCCGTACTCACTGCTGTTTGTCGACATGCTGCAAAACGCAAGTGAGCAGGCGCCGCCGGTCGCCCCTGCAGTGCCGCTCGCTGCCCCGGCTGCTGACGTGGGCTGCCTGGAGGCCAACTGGTGCCAGGCTAGAAAGGGATGTTTTTTCGATGTGTGTGACCGTGCTGCTGTCTTGTTCTGGCCTCACCCACCCACCCACCACATAACCACAGTCTACTCCATGGTCAAGTTTGGTCGGGTGCGCAACTACATTGTGCTGGCATGGTCCCCACGTGACCTCGACTCATGCGCCGACCTCAACCTGCCCTGCGCCGATGCCACCCGCTTCCTGCCCACCCCGCTGGACAACGGCCCAGATGCCGGGTACGCCCCACCTGCCTGCCTGCCTTCTGCTTCTGCGGTTGTCACCGCATCTGCTGCTGCTTGTGTGAGGCCCCTGCTTGTCACCTGCTTGGTCCATGCATTACTCCACATCAGCTGACGGGCGGTCTGGGAGCCGCCGCTGGCCGCGCCACCGCAGCCACTTTGGCACGCATGACTACCTGTCCATCGTCTGGCTGAAGCCGGCTGTGACGTTGTACACACTGCAGCAGGGCTACGTGACGTTTATGACGGGTGAGGGGAGCTGTGCAGATTTTGCTGCTTGGTTTGCATGCTGCGTAAAAATGAGCACGCCTGGTGGCGGGATGCCAGCTCAGCGCGCCGTGCCCTGCACTCGCCCCTCTGTCTTACGGTCCAGATGCCGACGTGTCGTACGCCAACAAACCCGTGCTGGAGAGCTTTCTGGAGCTGCTGGCGGTGTCCAAGGCAGATGCCGCTTTCCAGGCGGAGGGGCCTTGTGCGCTGGGCAGCTCGCCTTGCACGCCAGCAGGAGCAGCAGCAGCAAGAACGCTGGCGCATGTGGGCTGTTGCAAAGAATGGGGTTTGTGTCGTGACGTCGGTGTGGCTGCCAGCTGCCGACAGCATGATGGCCTCATGCCTGCGACCCCTGTGTGCAGTGAACACTGGGGTGTATGCGATCCTGGCCAACCCCGCTGGCATCGCTCTTGCCCAAAAGTGGGCCGATGGCACGCCTGCTGCGCTGAATGAGAGCCGGAACGACAACCAGGCACTCGCCCACCTCAATGGGCAGGTCTTCCGCCTGTGTTTCTCCACCGCGCAGTGCGCGAAAGCGAGGGCCGGCGTGAGTGCATCCATCCATGCGCAGCTGAGCTTGTGGCCTGCGTTGGAGCCTGCCAATACCAGCTGGCCGCCATCAATGCGCCCCTAATTCGATGGCTGATTCATACCACCTCGGCACCGCTGCAGATCGAGAACTCCAAGCAGACGATGGCGCTGATGCGCCTGTTCAACCCCGCCCACTTCCCCTACTCCCCAGACTACTATGCCTTCATAGACATGGACTACATCCCCCGGATAGACCCCTGCGACTGGACCGGTGCGCGATGCAGCGGCTTGGGGCATGTGTGGGTCGGGTGGTGGGGCGGGGCGCATGAATGGAGCCAACGCTGTGCATCAGTATGCGTTTGTGATTGGGTGCCTGATTGTGTGGCCGCTGCCCGCATGCTGCACTCACCTCGGCGTGCATGCGTGGCTTGTGGCGGGCTGGCTGGTGCTGCACATGCTGGCGTGTGCATGCATGTGCCCACCACCAGACACACGAGGTATCTGGCCCAAAACCAGCATACCCCACCCGTCCCTGCAGCGCTGTTTGTCCACATGGTGTCTGTCTTCAAGGAGAACAAGCGAGAGGGCCTGCGGCGCATGGGGTGGTGGTATCTGGACTCCGACACGGGCCGGCCGTGCGCGCCGCGCCAGGGTGGCGCCAACGCCGTGCCCATCTGCCAGCCGCGGCAGTGGCGCCTGCCAGACACCGAGCAGCGGCTGTACAACTGCGGCGGGCCGCTGGGGCCGTTGGGGCTGGTGCACCCGGGAGAGCGGGCAAAGCATGTGCCCCACCACCCTCCGTAAGCACAGCTTCAGCCCCTTTTGTTGCTTATGTTATGCAGCGGATTCTGTGGCCAGCACTTGATACTGCCTTACATCTGATTACATCCTGACATTGATTTACAATACATACATACATACATACATATTACCTACAGTGACGGATTGATTGGGTACGCTGTTGCCAAATCTCGCGTATTGCTTCACACTCGGCTCGCACCGGCCGCCCGCTTGCGGCCTAGGAAGGCGGCAGAGCACGGTCTGCCGCCTCTTGCCAGTCGATCTCGCTGGCTGCTGCCTCCCAGTCGGGCCCGGCCTTGTCCCCGCTGCCGCTCTCCGATTCAGAATCGTCGCCAGAGCTTGAAATGTTGAACTTGTCGCTGGACATGTTGAAAGGGTACGGGACATTTTCCGCCGCCGCCGCCGCCTCTGTCGCCGACTTGGTAACCGCCATGGTGACTAGCTTGCAGCGTGAGTCGCCGCTGTTCCACACACGGACCTGCGGTGAGAAGGATGAGAGAGCCTTTCAGCAGGCTCCCGTTCCTGTCAGCCCTGTCAGTCCTCAGGTGCAGCCCTGGTCTTGGGTCGGGATTGCTAGACGAGCGGCCCACCGCTTGCACCTTGCTGCGCTCCTTCAAGCCCATCGGATTGACAACCATCTCCAGCGGCTGCGAGGCAGTGGATGGTATCCGGTACCAGCCAAGCACAATCTACAGCACACAGAGGAGGGCACACATCTGTTCAGCGAGCCTGCTGGGCAGGATGGCCGTGCGCCCCGCGCCCCATCCACAGGCCGGTCTGCGCACCAAACTGCACCACACAGTACCTGGCGCACAGAGGCCGCCCGGGCCTGCAGCTGCAGGAAGCTCAGCTCCTCTCCCTCGCTGGCAAAGGAGGACACGTCCTGCACCACGAGGTCGCTCTCCTGGCCCAGAATCATGTAGGCAGGCAGGAAACGGGGGTTCACAGCAACCTGGAAGGACGGAAAGTGAATGAGACGTATGAAACATGGCTGCTGTCATGACAAAGACAAAGTGAAGGTGGAGAGTGCCATGCTGCTGCTACCATTCTTGGATAGCTTGAAGGTCAGCAAGCTGGGGAGTCTGTACACCAGACATTTGCCGCAATCCCATGAGCAGTATCCGTATGGGCTCAGCTGCACTTGGGCTGGCGAGCTTGCCTGGATCAGCGCCTTTGCGGCATAGCTGGCAGAGTTGATGGCAATGCCCAGCGGCAGGCGTGCATCATCCTCAAAACGCGTGACCCCCACATAGGTCAGCTTCTCACAGATGATGTTGATGTTGGGGTGGCCCGCCTCCTACACTAACAGCAGCAGCAGGCCCACAATTTTGGTCGAAGAAGGTGGATGTGAAGAGTTGCTCAATGCAGCCAGGGGCAGCCACCAGTGGAGCATCACGGTGCCGCCCGGCCCAACCATGCAGCCCCCACCCCTCTCACCTCCAGCAGCAGGCGGATGTTGAGCTGCACCATGAGCATGGCGGCATCCAGCGTGAGCATCTCCGCTTGGGACAGCAGTTACAGGCCCCTGTCAGGGTCTGGTGTGTCAAGTGCGCCCCAGTACGAGTCTGCGGGAGGTGGGGCATGGGCCAATGTGCAGCAGTCAGGCAGGCAGTAGCACACAACAGCCAGCCAGCCAGCAGCAACAGAGTGGCATGTACAAGCAGCCTGGCAGGATTCTCCCCACCCTGTGTCTCAGCCCTGACGCGTGGCCAGAGATGCACTCACCGCACACCACGATGGCGGCCTGGAACCTTCCCACATCGATCAGGCGCTTCATGTCGCTGCGGCTGCGTGGGTCGCCACACACATGCACCACCTCCAAGCTCTTGACCTGGTACTGCTCGCACCTTCCCTCTGCGCAGTCAAGCAGGACAGCATCCCTGAATGTCAACGGCACTGCATGCCTGCAGCCACACGAACACAAGCGAGCCAACAGCAGGCGGGCAAAGAGATGGTGCAGCAGCTGAATGCTGCTGCCACCCACTCAGGTACTCGGCGGTCCATTTGTGCTCGTTGAACAGCGTGACGCGGCTGCCTGCGGGCAGGCCCTGGTCTGAGTGGTCTAGCTCCGCCAGCAGCTCCCACATGAAGGTGTCGCCCATCCACCCGCAGATGAGCAGCTCGTCGGCGGCCAGCACGGTGTTGGAGTACTGCGGGGGCGGGGCAGGGCAGATGCGCAGAGCAGGGAGGGAGCGGACTTGGAAGGGATACAGGCCGGCGCAGTACACGCAGATGGAACTTTGGGGGCCGCCGCCGTGCAAACAGCGCGTCTCAACAGGCTATCCCTCCCCCACCTGGACAGGCAACACGTACAGCCCCTGCACGCTGCTCTGGTACGGCTCTATGGAGCCCTGAGGCCTGGGCCAGGAGGCCGCAGGGGAGGGCCAGGCGCTCGAGCTCATGCTCGTCAGGCTGGCGGGCCGGTCGCGGCGGAGGGGCGGCGCGGCCATCGTGCCCTGGGCTCGCGCGCTCATGGCCAGGCAGGATTCGTGGCCGCACACGTTGAGGCCCATGGGCTGCTCGTCCCGGCTGCGCATGATGTACCGGCAGGGGTCCCAGGCGGGACCAGGGTCCACCGGTGTGGCCTCGGGCAAGGCATGGTACGCTCCGGGCGCCCACCTGCGCAGGCGGCATTGGCAGGCAGCCGCCAGCTGTCAGCCCTCGTCTACACTATAAGAAGGTGAAGTTAAGTACTTGCTCAGGGGAGTTCCTGGATGGCCAGGGATAAAGCGGCAGCCGGCCGCAAGGGTGTGAGGGTTTGGGACGTGGCACAACAGCAGCCCACCTCTCCGGGCGCATCGTGATGATGTCATCGCCGGGCTGCACCCGCGTGCCTGGCGGCGGGTTGAGCTGGTAGGCGCTGGTTTCCTGGTTGGCCAGGCCCACGACCAGCGCATCTGCAGGGGGGCAGCGCGCCAGTCAGCTTGCACACAGCGGGCTAGGCCAGCGGCGTGCAGGCCCTGCCAGGAGACAGATGTCTTGCGGTGAGATTTTCAGGACTTTGCAACACGGCCCTTGACACAGTCCAAACTTGCAATGTGCACCTGGGAACCGGAAGTGCAGCTCCCCAAAGGTGAGCCCCTCCACCTCCGGGCAGTTGTCGATGGAGCCGTGGGCAGGGGAGAAGAAGTCGGTGAGGCAGCGGGAAAACACTGCTGCGATGGGATGGTGCAGCAGCCGCACATATCTGCAGGCAGGCAGGCATGGCGGCTTGTGTGTTTGGTGAGGCTGGCGGTGGGGAACGACGCGAACACCACGGCCCCAGGTTGCTGGGCGGGCAATGCCGCCCGAAATGGAGCAGGCGGCAGCCCTTGCCTGCGCGCATTGATCTTGTTTGTTGGCACAGGGATCACCCGCTGGCTGCACGAGTAGCGCACAAGCGGCAGGGCATCCTCCGTCTTGATCTGCAGCCCAGCCACGGCATGTCACCGGAGGAAGCCACTATGGTCCTGGCAGTAAAAGGTGGCAGCGGCGCAGCACACGCAGCCGCGTGAGCAGTGCGGCAGTCGCCAATGTCTTGCCTGCGCCACCACAATGGGGCCGCCGCCACCGGTGGGGTGCAGCTGCTGGAGAAGCTCGTCCAGCAGTACGCAGGTCCGCAGCACCTGGGCATCGGCAGCCTTGGACCGCTTGCTGCAGACCAACAAGAAAGAACAGCGCCATTCCAGGCAGACGCATCCGTGAGTTGAGTTGGCAGCATCTCGTGACCGCCATCCATCTGAGGTCTCGGTGTGAAGACGATGCAGCTGCACTGAGCGATCTGCATGACACTAGCGTGCAGGCGCTTGCCTGTTGTCGCCACACACGATGATGGAGCGGGCGTCGGAGGCCGCCACCATGCGCAGCGATGCAGGGTCCAGGGGGCTGCCCTGGCGGAACACAAACTGCAAGAGTGGAAACAAAGGCAAGCATGCATTGGCGGTCCACAGCTCCAGGCAGCTAAAAGGCATGTCAGAAAGCAGGCCCAATGGTTGCAGGTGGCAAACAGCGATCCGTCTCCTCACCCGCGTGCCAAAGCGATGTTCCTCTGGCACCACTTCCCGAAACAGCTGCTCCATCTCCAGCTTGCCGCGCTGCACGATGCAAGACTGGCTCACATCAGAGGCTGGAGAGGCAAAGCCAGCAGGCGCTGCATCCAGTGTGCCGGCTACATGTGAACAGTGCACAGATGTGAACACAGCACACCATCTCAGAGCAACTCCTCAAACAAGCAGCAACCCACCTGCTGCGTCAGCACCACCACCACGCCTCCCCCTGCCATGCGGTTGGCGGCGCACAGCTGCGTGAGGATGCGGGTCAGCTGCGCAATGTCGCGGGATGACTCGCACCACGCCAGCACCACAGTGTGCCCCCTCTCGTAGCACATGCTGCCGCGCTTCACATTGTTCTCCAACACCTCCAGCACCACCTGCAGGCAGAGGAGAGGCAGCAAGCAATCGGCACCTGGCATCAGGGTCCCGTCAACTGTTTGATGCCTGCAGATGGCCTGGTTTACACCCACACCTGCTCAATCAGGGCCAGCACCAGGGCAAAGGATGCCAGCCCAAACACGGCGGTGATGATGGCAAACAGCTGGCTGGGCCAGCCTGCATACCCCGTCGGCAGGTCCTGGCTGCAGGGCGCATGAACAATAGGGAGCTCGACCAGCGGTTCACAGCTCTCAACCCCATGATGCACAGCAACAGACCGGTGCGACTTTGCGCCGCCTCGCTCACCCCAGAACTACTGCCAGCACTTTGTACAGGTTGTACCAGGCAGTGACCAGCGGCCCCGCCCCCTCTGGAGGCGGCTCCATAGAATCATCCATGTTGCGGATGATGGTGCCCTGCGTTCCCAGCGCACGTGCGCTCAGCAGACCACGCAGAATGACGCTCCTGTTTCTGCCGAAAACAATAACGAGCAGCAGCCCCTGGGCGCACTCACCTCCACCCATGCTCCCGCCAGGAACACCAGCGTGTTGAGCACCATGAACAGCTGCAGGTCGGACCACGTGTCCTGCCGCCAGTTGAAGTATCTGTACTGAAGCTGGCCCAGAGCGTCCCCTACCGCTCTCTGCCACTCTGTCGGTGACGCCTTTGCATCTTCCTCCTCGTCGATGCTCTGCAGGTAGTTGTGCTCGTCGCCCGGCAGCCACTGGCTCTCAGGCTTCTCCCTGCCAGGCGTCAGCCGGTTCTCGTTGCCCCACCGTCCTCCGCCGCCCTTCAACGCCTGCGCAGGCGGTGGCCGAGCCGGCGCCCCACGCTGCACCCGACGGCTCAGCGGTTTGTGGAGCAGACATCGATGTGCAGCACCGGTGGCTAGCATCGGAGCCGCCTTCGGAGCTTGCCGACACAAGTCGGCCTATGTTCGGCGCTCAGCGTGCAGAGGCCGCAGACTGCATCGTTTCAAGGCGGAGTGAACGAATGTATGTAGTTCCGCGAGCAGCGCCTTGCAACACGCAAATGGCGGTGCCACGTCACGCCGAAGCGGGCGGAGGCGGTGAGTTGCAGGATTATCTATCAAGCTGGTCAGAGAAGCATAAGCCAAGGAAGTCACATATCCATTGTATTGAACACGTATAATAAACAAAGGGAATTCAGTGATGTTTCTTGTGGCTGTGGCCGTTGGGCTGCCGCCGCCCAGACAGCATGTGCCGCATCTCGGGGGGCAGACCTGCGCATGGTTGGAAGTTTGCAGCAGCGTCATACGTCTCCAGACACACTGGCATGGCCAACAAGCGTGCCGCACACATGACCATGCCAAGCCGTGGCAGCATCGGGCCCGCACCCTTTAGAATCACGTGGCTGCAACGCATGGTGGTCGCTGCCGCAAGTGATGCCATCAGCGTGACAGTAGCCGACAACGAACCAATCAGGGGAACGGTGATGCTGCAGCACAGGAGCGAGAAAGCTGGGTTTGCAGTACCGAGCAACCATGCAGCAAGAAGGCCTGCCCACTGGGCAGCAGCCAACCCCAAAAGCACCCGCCCACACACCTGTAACCAAACTGCATGCCGTTCCAGACATCCGCCATCGCCCGCAGCTTCTGCAGGCACAGCGCTTGCTGCTGCAGCTCCCGCAGGCCGCCCTCCAGCGGGAGCGCCAGGAACTCCTGCTGCACGCCTTCAAGCTGCTCGACCGACTTTGACAGCGCGTCTGTGAGGGCTGCACGATCGGGCAGGCGCAGGCGCAAGAGTGTGTGGATGGAACCCGGGGAGCATGTTGAGCAGTCGGTGTGCGGCTGGTCCCGATACCCTCGCTTGCCTTTCAGCCGCACGCAGATGCCCAAGTTGACCACATTCAGCATTAGAACAAGAACCGCAAGTGGCACATTGCGCGATGTGTAGGCCAGCACAGATGCCGCCAGATAGCCCAGCAGGGTGAGGTCACGGGGCGCATAAAAGGCCTGCTTCAGGGCTGCGGGCCAGCAGGGCGGCGTGGTGGATAGAGGGAGCAGGGCTCAGACTGGGATTACGCAGCTGGTCACAGGCACACTTGACCATCCCTGAACCGTAGCATGCATGCACCAGGATGCAATCTGCATGCCGATGCTCCCCAGCTCCCCCCAGCTCACCTCTCTTCTCCGCCCCGACTTGCTTGGTAAAGTGGAACTCTACCCCTAGGTCGGATGAGGAGACCTGGCCCACTATCGCCATCGACGCCGCCTGCTCATACAACAACCCCAGATCTGCATGCCACCCCACTAGGTCGGCATCCAGCGCCGTGTAGTTTCGCACCGCATCGCCCTGCAAAACACACGCAGCCACAGGTTGATGGGTCACAGCAGGGAACGGCCGGCAAGGGATGGCCCTCATCCATAGGAAGAGTGAGGGCTCACAGGTGCCGGGACCCGAAGCGTATGGCGCTCGGGAAAGCCGATCAGCAGGTTTGTGTAGCGATCAAACGCCTCCCACGTCTCGCCTATCCTGCACCATGGTAACAGAGCGACGTGGCGGCGATGGCGCGAGCGGCGGGAGAGGGGCGGCAAGTGCACACCACGGCCATGACCCACGCTGCATAAAATTCGGCTCCTACGTACCCAACGCATGAGAAGAGCGATAGCGGGGCACACACCGCTGCAACCACGGCCAACCAGAACAAGGGGCGGCTCATGGGGCCCGGTTCACGAGACCGGGATGGCAAGAATAAAGCAAAGAAGCCGCGCAGGAAGCGGCGCCCTGCCAGCAGTTTCTTGCTGCCGCCGCCTGCAGAGCGCCAGCGGGGCGCCTCCCACGAGGCGACGGCCGAAGGAACGGGCAGCGGCGGGGCAGCCAAATTGCCATCCAGAGCACAGAAAGACCATTACAATTGTGTGCCGGACCAGTCCTTGGTGCCAGTCCTTGACAGCCAACTTGCTAACTAATACCGGGCAACAGTGGGCGGCTAGCGGGTGTTGGGAAGAAGAGCAAGCGACATTGTTTTATAATTGCGAAAACAAGACTAACAGGACGAAACAATGACACAGGCAGAATCATTGGAATGAAATGAACTGCTATTAGAGCGACACATCAGGAACGGACAACATCAGACACGACGCAATGCCACGTGTGCGGCTGAAAATGAAAAAGGGAAATTAAACTCAAGCTAGCAACATTTGAACATCAAAACAAGCTAGTACAAAGTAGATGCTGCCTGCATTACTCATCGCAGCTGCTGAAAGATGCTGCCATGCTGCTGCTGCACGTGGCTGGGGGGCCATCCCAGTTTGCCGCTGCCGCTGCGGCTGCGCGCTTCGTCACTGCCAGGGTCACCAGCTTGCAGCGACAGTCGCCGGCGTTCCACACCCTGGTCTGCAGCAGGTGAATATAGCAGCAACTCAAAAACCAAGGTGTTGTTCTCCAGCACCAGCGTATCGTCAACCAGCACGTCGCAGCCACATCAGCAAGGTTCGCCAGAACAGCACGCACCCTGGTGCGCTCCTCCAGCCCCTGCGGGTTGATGACCAGCTCCAGCGGCTGGGAGGGCGTGGCTGGGATCCGGTAGTAACCAAGCAGCACCTGGCGCACAGAGGCCGCCCGTGCCTGCAGCTGCAGGAAGCTCAGCTCCTCGCCCTCGCCGGCAAACGAGGAGGCGTCCTGCACCGTGAGGTCGCTCTCCACCCCCAGCTGCATGTAGGCCTTGAGGAAGCGGGGATCGACAGCCACCTGCAGCGGCCAGGTGGAGCGGGCCCATGGAGTCTCGAGAGTGGGTGCCTCTTGGCCTCCCCGCGATGCTGAGTTCCTATGCGAGGGCCGCAGCCCGGCATGTTGGAGCCAGCAGTGGCAAGCGAGCAGAGAAGACAGGCTCACATGTGTCAGTGCCTTGGCGGCGTAGCTGGCAGAGTTGACGGCAACGCCCAGCGGCAGGCGTGTGTCGTCCTCGAAACGCGTCACCCCCACATAGGTCAGCTTTTCGCAGATGATGCTGATGTTGAGGTGGCCCGCCTCCTGCACCAACACGTGCAGCAGAAGCAGCATCACATTGAGTTGTCCAGTGGTGGGTCAAGGATTGCAGCATGCCAGGGCACCATGACAGAACTGCGGTGGATAGCCTCGGTGGCATACCTCCAGTAGCAGGCGGATGTTGAGCTGCACCATGAGCATGGCGGCATCCAGCGTGAGCATCTCCGCTTGGGACAGCAGGTGCAGGCCGCGATCTGTGTCGGGCCCGCCCTCCTGCCCGCCTTCTGCCCACAGCGAGTCTGCAGGAGGGATGGAGAAGCATGTGTCGAGCAAATTGTCTGTCTGGCAACATACGGCACAGCAGCTTGCCCTGCGGTGGTGTGGCACTCGCGGCTCCAAAGTCGGAGGCTGGCCTGCCACAGCGTCCCGCTCACCGCACACCACGATGGCTGCCTTGAACTTGGAGATGTCTACCTGGCGCTGCATGGCACTGCGGCTGCGCGGGTCGCCGCACACGTGGCGCACATCCAGGTTGCGGATGTGGAACTGCCGGCACCGGTCGTCTGCAGGCAGCACGGGGCAGTGGCAAGGGGGCGTTTCTTGGGGCTGGAGTGCTTCGGTAGGTTGGGCCCGCGCACTATGGTGACGTCAAGAGGCCTGACACCCCACGGCGCTGCCACCCACCCAGATGCTGCCGCGTCCAGGGGTGGGAGTTGAACAGCGTGACGCGGCTGCCTGCGGGCAGGCCCTGGTCTGAGTGGTCCAGCTCCGCCAGCAGCTCCCACATGAAGGTGTCGCCCATCCACCCGCAGATGAGCAGCTCGTCGGCGGCCAGCAGGGTGTTGGTGTACTGCGGGGGCAGGGGGAAGGAAACGGCGAGATGGCAGCAGAGCTGGAAGGACCCCAGTAACAGCCCATGCACAGCTTCCACCTTGCGCAAAATTAGCGCAGGTGGAGGCTGCTGCTCGTCACACACATGCCCACCTGCATTGGAAGCACATACAGGCCCTGCCTGCTGCTCTGGAAGGCCTCCGACCAATTGCTGCCGCTGGCGGCAGCTGCCGTTGCGGCCGCCGTAAAGGATCCCAGGCTGTGTGCGGAGTCGGGCCGGCGGGGCACGGCGAGAGCAGCGCCGTGCGCTCGTGCACTGATGGCCAGGCAGGACTCAGAGGTGGAGCAGGCATGTGAGCCCAGCGGCTGCTCGTCGTGGCTGTGCATGACATAGTTGCTGGGGTCCCAATCGCCGGGGTCAACCTGCAACGTCTCTGGCAGGGCGCGGTACTCGCCATTCCTGCACGCAACACAAAACAGCGATACCGCCTCAAGTATGCTCCGCATAGAGAGGCATCAAGTACTTCATGCAGGGCTGGTAAGGGCAGCTCGCAAAGGCCGTGCTCGCCTGTTTGACCGCAGCGTGATGACATTGTCGCCCGGCCGCACCGGCCTGTCAGGCGGCGGGTTCAGCTGGGTGTGGTGTGTCAGCTGGTTGTGCAGGCCAACCACGAGCGCATCTGCATGTCGAGAGGGGCAGGCAGGCATGTGTGACATGCTAGCATGGGCTCTCCACGTGGCGCTTGGGCACACCTGGGAACCGGAAGTGCAGGTCCGCAAAGGTGAGCCCCTCCACCTCGGGGCACTCATCAATGACTGCGGTTCATTCATTCATTCAGCACACAGACCGGCCGCCTCTTGCTCGAGGGCGGCCCACTTTGGCCTGGGCAGCCCGGGCCGCCCTCCCCCCCGGGCGCATGTTCGGTGTTGGAGGGGTGCGCCCAGCGATAGGGGGCCCCTGAAGGCATGCGCCGAGGCCGGGAAGCGTGGTTCGGCGCTGCTGCACGCTTGGCGACTTGAACAGAACCGCGTGCCGCCGAGCTGCGGCCGCAGTTTCCGGCCCACAGTCTACGGCCGCAGCCACGGGACTCGGCGGCACGGCGTTTGGGCCCAAGCTTGCTGCCGCCGCCGCCGTGCCCGGGGGGCAGCGCGGCGGCGGCGGCGGCACGCTGCGACGCCCCCGAGCCACCGAGCTGCGGCCGTAGCTTCCTGCCAGAAGCCCACGGCCACAGCCACGGGACTCGGCGGCACGGCGTTTCGGTCCACGGCTTGCTGCCGCCGCCGTCGCAGGGGTGCTGCCTGCGGCGGCGGCGGCACGGCGTTTGGGTCCACGGCTTGCTGCCGCTGCCGCCGCCGCAGGGGTGCTGCCTGCGGCGGCGGCGGTAGCGCACGTGGCAACCCCCCGCGCTTCCTTGCCTCCCATCCACCGGACCCCGTCCTGCGCTTCACTTTGTTTCGGGAGGGGCTGCTCACTGCTCATTGCTCATTGCTCATCGCACACTGCTCAACGCTCATTGCCCTATATCCCACCCAGCCGCAGGACTCTACTGCCGCCCGCGCCCCGCCCCATCTGGCCGCTTGCGCGCCCCATCCCCCCTCGATGGGGCCCGCCCACACCGGGGCCTCCCCCCTCCCGCCCACTGCTTTCTCAACGGCCCCGAGCCGGGGCTGCCCTCATTGCATACATAGTGCGCCTTTCCCTGCTTTTCTAGTGACCTAGCGTTCCGCACTGCCGTTTGGCCAGCCCATGCTCCCGTACCGTTGCGTTTCTCCCCAATGCGCCATGCCACTTTGCCAGTCATACACACGTTTCGATGCGTGCCCTGTCAGCTGCTTGCGTTGCATGTCGCCTTGCTCCACCCCTGTTTTATTGCTTTCTCTGCTTTCGCCCGGTTCCCGTCCCGTTTCGGCGGGGAGTCTATGTTGCAAGCTAGTTCTTGCTTTACCAGACTTTAAGCCCACACAAGCGTGCGCGTTGCTGTAGCTGTCCATCAGGCTCCTGGAAAACACTGCCGCGATTGGGTTGTGCAGCAGCCGCACATACCTGCATTGCAAGCAATGAAAGCAGCGAAGATCAGCAGGCGCATTTCCAACCGGGCGGGAGATGTACAGGCACACCTCGCAGCCCCTCACACCTGCGAGCATTCACCCTACTGGTTGGCACCGGGATCACCCGGCGGCTGCACGAGTAGTGCACCAAGGGCAGGGCATCATCTGTCTTGATCTGCGACCAGGGAGTGTGGCTGCCAAGCAAGAGTTAGGTCTTCATAAACACCCAGAGAACCCGCACACAACGTCGCCCATCCACCCACCAACAAGCCCACCCAACCACCAGGGGCTGCTTGTACACTGCTGACAGCCCAGTGAGAATGCTGCCCAGTGCTTGCCTGTGCCACCACTAAGGGCCCATTACTGTCAGCTGGCCCCTCGTGCTCTATGAGCTCATCCAGCAGCACGCAGGACCGCAGCACCTGGGCATCGGCATCCCTGGATGGGCGGCTGCACCGAGTCGTGCAACAAAAGGGGCGACGAATGATGTGCAAAACAGCGCTGGATGCAGCTGCTGAGCGTTGCCTGGCCTCTGAGCCTGCCATCTCACCTGTAGTCACCACACACAATGACCCGCTGTGCATCCAACGCCGCCACCATGCGCAGTGCAGCAGGGTCCAGGGGGCTGCCCTGGCGGAACACAAACTGCAAGAGTGGAAACAAAGGCAAGCATGCATTGGCGGTCCACAGCTCCAGGCAGCTAAAAGGCATGTCAGAAAGCAGGCCCAATGGTTGCAGGTGGCAAACAGCGATCCGTCTCCTCACCCGCGTGCCAAAGCGATGTTCCTCTGGCACCACTTCCCGAAACAGCTGCTCCATCTCCAGCTTGCCGCGCTGCACGATGCAAGACTGGCTCACATCAGAGGCTGGAGAGGCAAAGCCAGCAGGCGCTGCATCCAGTGTGCCGGCTACATGTGAACAGTGCACAGATGTGAACACAGCACACCATCTCAGAGCAACTCCTCAAACAAGCAGCAACCCACCTGCTGCGTCAGCACCACCACCACGCCTCCCCCTGCCATGCGGTTGGCGGCGCACAGCTGCGTGAGGATGCGGGTCAGCTGCGCAATGTCGCGGGATGACTCGCACCACGCCAGCACCACAGTGTGCCCCCTCTCGTAGCACATGCTGCCGCGCTTCACATTGTTCTCCAACACCTCCAGCACCACCTGCAGGCAGAGGAGCGGTAGCAAGCAATCGGCACCTGGCATCAGGTCCCGTCAACTGTTTGATGCCTGCAGATGGCCTGGTTTACACCCACACCTGCTCAATCAGGGCCAGCACCAGGGCAAAGGATGCCAGCCCAAACACGGCGGTGATGATGGCAAACAGCTGGCTGGGCCAGCCTGCATACCCCGTCGGCAGGTCCTGGCTGCAGGGCGCATGAACAATAGGGAGCTCGACCAGCGGTTCGCAGCTCTCAACCCCATGATGCACAGCAACAGACCGGTGCGACTTTGCGCCGCCTCGCTCACCCCAGCACAACTGCCAGCACTTTGTACAGGTTGTACCAGGCAGTGACCAGCGGCCCCGCCCCCTCTGGAGGCGGCTCCATAGAATCATCCATGTTGCGGATGATGGTGCCCTGCGTTCCCAGCACACGTGCGCTCAGCAGACCACGCAGAATGACGCTCCTGTTTCTGCCGAAAACAATAACGAGCAGCAGCCCTGGGCGCACTCACCTCCACCCATGCTCCCGCCAGGAACACCAGCGTGTTGAGCACCATGAACAGCTGCAGGTCGGACCACGTGTCCTGCCGCCAGTTGAAGTACAGGTACTGCAGGCGTCCCGCCTCCCGAGCCAGATCACGATGCCACTCGGGCATCGGCTGCGCCGGCCTGCTACCCTCCTCCAAGCTGTGCAGCGAGCTGCTCTCCACATCGGGATGCACTGCCTTGTTCTCAGAGAGGCGGTTCTGGTTGCCCCACCGCCCGCTTCTGGCGGTGCCATCATTGCCTCCGCCAGGCTGCCTGCTGCCGCCGGCGCCGCAGTCGACACGGCGGCGCAGGGGTGGAACCCGCGGCGGGCGTCCAAGGAACAATAAGAGATTCAGTCTAGGGGCCACAGTTGGCCCTCTTGTGCAGCGAAAGTGCTGCACAGAGCACAAAGTGGCTGGCATAACGTACGAGCCCCTTGCCCTCCCTTTGTTAGGCACTCACTTCCGCGTTGGGTGATGAGTATCGAGTTAGGACGCAGGTCTTTGGGTGTGCCATGCAGTCTGCAGGCGCGGCACCGTGCGATGCCACGCAGCAACACATGTCGAAACACCCGTGGGCAACCACCTCTTCTCACAAATCGCCAAGCGTGTGTCACGAACCCAAACCAGCTCTGCCCTGCGCATATCGGGCGATCGATCTGCATGTCCAAGACCTGCCGCCCAGTCGAGGGCCCTCCTCAGCTCACAGTAATCGCCCTGGAGCGTCTGGCGTGCTGCATAGGAGCGGTGCACACCCTGACCTGCAAGGGCTCGCCCCTTCCAGAGGAACTCGCTTGCTCTCTGTTTGCGGTGCGAGCTGGGCATGGTTGCCCGCTGATAGTGGTTGATACCATCTGCGCCGGGGAAGCTAGCGGTGCCAGTGGCCGCCGCCACCACCCCTGCCGTCACCGCCATTCCTGCTGCTTCGCCACAACGCAAAGACTGCCGCGCATGCGAACAGCGCGACTGTTGCAAAACCGCCCTCCCTCCATTATTGCTTTCCCAAATTGCAGCTGGTGTTGGACAAGGGCAAGCTGACGCCGAAGGTGCTGGACATGTTCGAGGCCCTGGAGCATGACACGCTCTTGCAGCAAATCAGCGAGTTGAACATCCACCGCTGGACTCCACCTCTGCTACCGACCTCGCGGAATGGTCCGCTCGGCTACTCGCGACCAGCCTGGGAATGAGCGGCAAAGGCACGTTGAATGCAAGAGCAGCGCAGCACAGCCCCCTGCAAAGGTTTTCCCTCACGCTTCCCTGCCACCGTCCTGTTTGCTAGTGTCTCTTGTCATTGCTTGTACTCCTGCTGTTTGCTGCTGTGTACCACCAACCATCAGATTTCTTTCTGAACCTGCTACCACGTAGATATCTCCATTTTTCTGACCCTACTCACTGTTTTTTCTAGCCCAGTTTTCAAGGTGGCTCCACTCCATGGACAATCAAATGGCATGCTCCCATAGGTAATATGGCAGCACAGGGGCGTGCAGAGAGCGTTAGCAGAAGAGCAGGCTGTGGCAGGACGAAGCAGCGGCCGATGAACTGAGGGATGGGATCAGAACATTAGGAGAGGGTACTCAAGGGCTGTACTTAACCAATCATGGTTTCTACCACGCGCGGTCGATGACATTGGGACTGCTAACAGGGGCTTGCCGGTTCGGCTTGCCGTGGCCCAGCAACCGCCGCCCAGGTCACTTCATGTCGGCCGCCCAGGCGATGATGCCAATGACGCCGCCGCCAAGCACCTGCAGCACACAAGCATGCGTTGCCGGCTCAAGTTTAGCGTGGTGTTGCTGACAGGCAGCACTTGCAAGGACAAGGAGCAGACGGGTTGGACACGCCTCGGGCTGGCCGGCTGGGCAGGCATGGAGGGCTCACCACGAGAGGCGCCGGCACGGCGATCGCTTCGGTGGCGCCGTAAGCCAGAATGCCGATGCAGATGGAGGTGGTGGGGTGGGGGCTGGACTCCCATGCGCTGAACGTGAGCTGGAACACGGAGGCCACGATGAGGCCAACTGCAGTTGAGTTGAGGCCTGGCAGAGCGCGGCGGTACACCTGGAACTTCCTGCGGAGCGACAGGATGCATGGGGCGGCGGCATGCAGGTCAGAAACCAGGCCAATGGCACCTCCCCCGCCATCTGCCGGCGTGCATTGAATGCCAAACCCTTGCACGCACCTGAAGCCTCCCCAGAAGGGCAGGATGCCAAAGATGATAATGATGCCCGGCGCAAACAGGCCCACCCAACACACGATGACGCCTGCAGCAGGGCGGGGCACGCTCCGGTCAACCGTGCAAGCCACGTGGCCAGCCACCAGCCAAGCGCAGCAAAAGCCAGCGGTGCGGCCTCACCGACGATGGCGTTTACGCCCGCGTTCTGCGCAATCACGGCGCCCAGATATGCGGCAAAGTTGAACAGCGGGCCGGGCATGGCCTGCGCCAGCGCCAGCCCCGCGTTGAACTGCTCCGTCGACATCCAGCTGTCGGGAGAGTCGTCGCAGTCCTGCAGGCAGGCAGGCGAGGCGCAGGCGAGGCGTGCAGGAGGTCAGCGCACCCACCAACGTTGACACCGGCGGCATGGGAGCGAGCGATCAGGGTCTGGTCGGAAATGCCCGCCCCTGTCATGCCTCCTTGCTTCCTCCCCTCCCTCCCTCCCTTCCCGCATTCCCTGGCAGCGACTCCCAAACCGTGCATCCAGGAGAAGCCCAACTCACAGCAGATCCAGCTCCACTCACCTCCTGCTGTGTCACCTCATTATACACGCACACTTGGTCCACCACATCGTTGTACAGCATGGGCAGCACCACCTGGCCGCCGCCAAAGATGACCGAGCCGGTGCGGTAGAAGACGGCAAACCAGTGCAGCTCCTTGGCGCTTTCGTACGCAATCTCGCCCGACTGTGGGCGGGAAGGGAGGGAGGGGGGCGGCCACCAGCGGCGCAGCGGCGGCGGTGAGGGCCCGGCTGCGCACAGGACAAGACCCGAGCAAGGGTGCGCAGCGTCTCCCAGGCAGGTCGCACATGCAAGCATGCGCACAAGCAGACACGACCACTTCCAGCCAGCCTGCCACTCACCAGCACCACCACCACCACCAGGATGACGACCCAGGAGACCAGCAGGATGCCGCCGCCAATCTTGTTGAAGCCCAACTTCTCCACGCCCGCGTTCATGTCGGCAACCTGTAGGCGGGCAGAGCGAGAGCGGTTGGCTTTGCAGCAGACGTGGCAGGCAGGCAGGCAGGCAGCAGCCAGCCCCGTCACAGCTGGGCAGCCTTGCATCCCTGCCATAAGCCCTGCAAGCGACCTTGAATGCAGGCCCTTTGCTGCTGCCCCTCTACTCCCAATTCCCCTCCACTCCACCCTGGCCCCACCTTGATCTCGTTCTTGCGCATTGCCACCAGGGTGATGAGGCCGCCGGCCACGATGAGGGAGGGGAAGGTCCAGGGCTTGGGGTAGTAGTAGGCGATGACGGCGGCAACGGTGCACAGCACCTGTATGGCAGGAGTAGAAAGACAGGGGCTCGAAGCGTTTCAGCAAGATAAAACAAGAAGCCGGCTGCGCTAGTTGAAGGAGGGGCCGGGGGCCGGCCTCAATGCTTGGGCTCCACCAGCTCCTCGCATCCACCCACCCACCCACCCACCCACCTGCAGCAGCCTGCCCTTGCAGATGTTGCGCACAAGCCCCAGCGCTGCGCTGGCCACCAGCGCAACACCTGCCGCTGCCAAGCCTGCAGGAAGGGGCGAGGAAAAGAGGGATGGGGAGTTCAGTGAGTCGTCTAGCGCAAGGAAAAAGAGCTCCCACAAGGCCTGACAGCAGAAGTGGAGCAGGCAGCGCCACTTGCCTGCCACCAGCCCCAGCAGCCATCCGGGCGTGGATTCGTCTAGCACCTTGGAGGCTGCCCAGCCCAGGATGGCCAGGATGAGGAAGCCGGGGCCCTGGAACAGCACGCCCGACAGCAGGCCGCCAGACAGCCCTTTCTTCAGCACACCGATGGCAAAGCCCATCTGGGTGGAGGTGGGTCCTGCGGGCAGGGACCGTGGGTACGGGCATGGCTGGCCATCAGCCGGGGCATCTCCCGCACGCTGTCGCTGGCAGAGGCACGCACGGACACTCGACATGCAGGCGGCACAGCATGGTGCAGCAGCACGCTCCATCTCCGATGCCCAGGCCCCATGGGGCCCACCCGCCCATCCCGCCCACCTGGCATGCACTGCCCTAGCATCAGCAGCTCGGTGAACACCATGTAGGTGCACCACCGCAGCTTGTCTACAAACAGCTTCTGGAACATAGCGATGTGGGCCGCGGGGCCTCCAAACGCGGTCCAGCCCTGCACCAGGCAGCCGGTACAGGGCAGCGGAGGAGGGGCTTGATGCTGGAATGGAACGCGCTCTTGTCAGAGTTTTGCGTGCCGCATAGGGTCGTTAAGCATGCGCTGACCCTCGCAACAGCATGCCCCCCGCTCGCACCAGGATGCCAAAGTGCTTTGCAATCTCGCCGTAGGTGGCCGGCTGTACCGCCGACTCCTCGCTGGCCGCCTCGCTGGCCGGCTTGTCCTCGCTGCCGCCATTGGCGACGCCGTTGCTGTCAGTGGCCAGTGCCACCTGGCTGCTGGTGGTGGGGTGGCGGTGCACCAGGCCGTCGTGGCGCGTGCGGTCGCCGCCAGCGTCGCTGCCGCCACTCGCCGTCGGCTGGTCACCGGCAACTGTCGGCTCGGCGCCCGCTTGCTGCGCCTCCACATCGAGCTCACGGGACGCTGGTGGCCCCGTTGGGCTCTGGCCGGCGGTCATGGGTGCCAGTGCCTGCTATTCGCCGCCGGTGTGCCTGCAGAACTGCCCTGCGCTGTAGCGCGCTGAGCAATTCTCAACTGCCTGGGCAGCAAATTGCTCTGCGCAATTTGCGTCTCCACCAGGTGGTAGGCAAAACTGCGTTACAAAAGTTGAACTCCCTCCTGCGTGCTGAGGGCCGGAGGTGCGAAACACCACAAACGAGGCTGTTAGACCACAAAGAAGAAACATATAGATTCGGCATCTGTCATGCTCAGGACTTCTCTACCTAGCGCAGCGCGGTGAGCGTGGCGCCGCCATTCTCTCCTCGCAGTTGCCTGACATTGAAGATTTGCATATACAGTGGTACAATGCAGCAGCGCAGCAACAATTGAGCAGGAAAGGGCAGCAAAACAGCAGTGGAGGGTCGGCTCTGAATACCATCCCGAAAGCGGCGCTCAGGGCCGTAGTAGGGATGCGCCAAGCGGGGGGAGAAAACAAGGGGTACAATCAGAGAGGGCACCTGAGTGCACCGAATATGATAGGGAGACGCGGATACGCAGTTCTTGCATCATCACGGGGTGGGGAGGCTTGCTGCAACGCCCGCGGCGCCAGCTCAGCGAGCGAGCGCCCAGCGCTGCTGTTCTGGCGCGCGAGCTCACTTGCCACCCCCGCCAAACAATTTCTTCAGGCTCCTCTTTTTGCCTGAGCTGGCCATGGTGGGCGCCGGCGACGACATCTCGCTGCCAGTCATCAGACTGCACACAGACGCAGGCAAAACAACCAAAGTCAACAACAAAGGACAGGGCCAGCACGAACCCCATTGCAAACAGCGGCTGCTGAGCAAGGTGTGTGACAGCGACGGCACCCAGCAGGCACGGTGGCCGGCCCGCCAGGATGCAGTTCCTCCCCCAGCGTGCAGCCCACCTGTGGTCTGGGCTTTCCCGCTCAAACTTGGCCGCGCTGCTCAGCTCCGTGGCGGGCGTCTGAGGCGTGCCGCGACCAACTGCGCTCAGCAGCAATACAAGGGGCGGGGTTGGTGTGGCAGCAGCAGGCCGGAATCGGTCCAGGGCATGCCAACAATGCACAGCACATCCCTGCGGCTGCAGCACGTCTCCCCGTATATGCTGCTGGCCACGCAGGGGTGCGCCCGGCAGCCAGCCGGCTGAGAGCTGCGTGCTGGACCGCCTTAGCACACATAAAACAGGACAAAACGACACCAAACAACAAGGCAGCCAGGGCCACTCACAGCTGTACTTGCTGGACATCTGCGGCGTCAGCTGGCGGTCGCTGGCGGCCGCCTGCGCCGCAAAGGCCTGGTCCTGTGCCTCCACAAAGGAGGGGCCGCGGCTCTGCGCCTGCTGCCGCGACGTCGCCTCCTCCGTCCGCCGGATGCTCTCCTGCAGGCGGGCAGGCAGCAGAGCTTGTGAGGGGCACCTGACACCAGGACTAGGCGCTGTGCAGAAAGAAAGTGATGCGGCGCATCCAGGCAGGCCTGGGCGACCCTCGTGGCCTCTGCTCACCGCCATGCGGGCGCTGTACATCTGGCGCCACTTGGACTCCTCGTCCGGCACCATGTCCTGGCGCCGCGAATTGGTGCGCAGCGAGGCGGCCCGCGTGATGCGCCGCTCCCGCCGCCAGCTCACAAACATGCATGTGACTGCAGCATGGGTGCGCACGGCAGAAGGCAGGGCAGGCTGGAATGCAAGAGCGGGTGCAGGGGAGAAGCGAGTAGCACTCACAGCTGCACCTGCACCGGGGCCAGCAGCCTTCAGGCAGCAGCCGGCTGCTCGCAGGCCCGCTGCCACTCACGCATCACCACAATGAGGGCTGCCACCCCCAAGCCAATGCAGATGCCAACAAGTGCCGCAGTACTGAGCGAGCTGTCGGTGGTGGTGGCAGTGGAGGTGCCAGTGGTGGCGCCGGCAGAGATCACGATGGGGCTGACTCCGGTGCCCTGGGCGGCCACCACCGCCTCTGTGCAGGTGACTGCAGTCAGGGGGCGAGGGGTGGGGAACAGTCTGGTGAGATTGAGATGCCCGACATGTTAGCAATCTCCCCACCCACATGTCGCAATGCACAACCACCTGCTCCAGCACTGCCCGGCGGGTGGCACCCACCTCCATTGGCTTTCAGGTTGGTGCACACAAGGCCTTGCGTCGTGGCATCTGCCAAGTTCTTCTGCACCGCTGGCTGCTGCACTGCCGTGGCCTGAGCATCAGCGAACACATACACGCCATCTGCGCACCAGTGGTTGCAAAAGAAAGAGGCAAGTTCAGTGCTCCACACACAGATATGACCAGGAGCAAGCAGGCAAGCAACCCGACACCAGGCTCTGCCTGACGCATACCTGCATTGAGGGGCATCGGAATTTCCTGCGACGGCCACCACTGGGTTGCGGACGTGGCGCCCTCTGCCTGCTGCAGCCTGCGGCTGGCTGTCATCAGCAGCCGGCGCAGGCGGCGCTCGCCGCCCTCGGGCGGAGGCGGCGGCCGCCTCTTGCGGTGCTTCTTCTCCTCCCCATCTTGATTGTCCTCCTCATCGTCATTGCCGCTGTCCGTGGGGCTGCCGGCGCTGTCATCCGTGAGCGCCTTTGTGTTCTCCTTGGGAGGCTTCTCCTCCGCCGGCGGCGGCGGCGGGAAGACGGTCACCGCGTTCTCCACCTGCGGCGGCGTGTCGGGCGCTGAGGCCTGCTGCCAGCGCCAGGCAAACTCCACAGGGATGGTGTAGTTATTGATGGACCACATGACAGCCTGCAGTTCAGGGGCAGGCAGGCAGGATGGGAAGGAACACACGATTGCAACACACGTTTCCAGTCGAGAGAGGGGGGCCAGGGCCAGGGAGGCGATCCCCGAATGCAGGCTGGCATGTGCGTGGCAGCGCCGTCATATGAGCCGTCACTCCAGTGGCCACAGACGGCACCGGTTGCGCCCAGGGCAAAGTGCAGCGGCCAGCGTACCTCCAGTTGGCTGTCTGATAGTGGGTACGCTGCCCCCACAATCTTCAGGATGAGCTTCATTGTGTTCTCGGGCACGACCACAGCTGCTGGTGGGGAGGGCGCCGCCGTTGGACCTGGCGCGGGCGACGGCGACGGGACCGGCGCCGGCAGGCTCGGTTCGGGCGAGGGCGTGGGTATTGTGTCTGGCCTGGGCGAGGGGGCGGGCGTGTCAATGATCGCGGCAGGCGCACGCGCCGGGGACTCTGCCAGCGGCGGGGGCGGCCGCCTCCTGCCCCCCTTTCGTTTGGGAGGCGGCGGCGCGCCGTTGCCCTTTGCTGTCTCCTCCTGTACGCCCTCTGGTGCAGGAGCTTTTGAAGTCAGCTTGCCAGGCGTGCCGTTGTTCTTCTGTGCTGCCGCCAGCGGCACCAGCGCCGCCACCGCAAAGACCGCGAGCAGCAGCAGCAGCTGCGACCGCGAGCGCCTGGGCGATGCCGCCATGATGCGGTGTGGTGGCCGCCTGCAGCATGCAGCAAAAAGAAAAAAGCAACGAGGTCAACCAGGCGGCAGTGCGACCAGGAGAAGGGGCAGCGTCTGTGGCGGCGGCCGCGCGGGCGGCGGCGGCGGGCACTGCCTTGCATTGAAACAGGTGGGTGGCAGCTCTTGAGGGACATAGTTCTGCAGCAGATTGACACCCCTTCAGAGCTGCTTTGCGCAACTGCGACCCCCACACTCGAAGTCAGCCGCGTGGGGGCAGGGCATCTCACCATGCCGCCCCAACGAAGCAGCGCACCCCCTGCAAGCCTTCCGCGCAATTGCCCTTACTCTCACCTGAGCAGCAGCACTGGTCCCTCCGCAGATCCTCCCCAATTCCTCCACTGAACCTAATAAGTTCAGATGCGAGGCAATTGCCCGGCTGCCGCTCCTCCTGACAGCGCTCACAGAGTGTCCTAATGTTAATTGTGGCGTGGACGCTCCAGCTGGGCCCCGATCACTCCTGCTGCGGGTGACGCCGATGCAAGGCCAGCGTGGCGGGCACTTTTGTAAGTGTAAACTCTGAACACGCTCGCTCAGTCCAGCATATTACATAGGTAGGCAGATCTGATGCATAGTCAGACCAATGAATGGCGCTCGGGCGCACGGGGCGCATGTCAAAACATCAAAACTAGGGCTTGAGAGAAGTCGCAAAGAACACGGCATAAAATTGCAGTCGGCGTCATCGTCGGCAGCGCCCGGGTGCCTGCCGCCAGGGGATGCCAACCACTGCCGAACCACCACGGTGGTTGCAGCAGCCCGCACCACAAAACCACCAACTAACGCAAGGCGATTCCTCCCGCATTGCTGGGCTGCTCGGCGTGCCGAGTGTCCTGCCACCGCTGGAAGGTCTGGAGTGCCTCGTGGTCTCGCGCGGAGCCGGACGAGGCGGGCTCCCACCTCGAGTAACTTGCCTGCTTCCGCCGCCGCCGCATGCACACCGCAACACCTGCAGTGCAAGCCAGGGTGTGGAACCGTATGCCAGGTCAGCTCCCTGCGTGCCAACCTGCCCTAAAGACCACATGCCATGCACGCTGCCCAGCCCAGGACGGCCGCCAAATGACCATGCCGGCAGGCCTTGACAACGACAGAAAGCCGCACTGGTATGCGTGCCCACTCGCCTGCTGTGACCGCCACAAGCACGCCGGCAGTGACAGAGACGGCAATGATGAGGATCGAGCTGCTGCTGGAGCTGTCGCCGCCGCTGCTCTGTGAGCTGTCAGCGCCACCGCTGGCGTCACTCTCCGTATCGGCGCCGGCCTCCGTATCAGCAGTGGACGAGTCGGCTTCAGAGGGAGCAGAGGAGTCAGTTGTGGTGCTCAGACCCAGGAGGACGGCAATGTCTGGGTCGGCTGCGCCGGCGTACAGCACCGTGGCATTGGTCACAGTCACACCTGCAGTGCGCACAACGGGAGAAGGGTGCAGTGGGCTCCGATTGGGGCTGGGCCGGCATGGGGGCAGCGAAGCCCGCTGGCGGTCAAGGAACCCTCCTGCCTGCCTGCCTGCCAGTCTGCCTGCCTGCCAGGCAAAGCTGCACACGTCTGCACTCGCCTGCATCTTGCAGCGCCGCGGTGAGGCTGCCGCTGCTGGAGGCCTCCCTGAGGCTGGCCTCAGCTGCGTCCTCCTCGCTGGCCTTGATCGCGGTGTCAATGTACACCAGAACGCCGTCGGCCGTGCTGGCAGGCAGGGGTGTCTCCAGGGCATCAGGCCACCACCGCTCGTCACTCTGGTTGGCGTCAACCGGCCCTTGCAGCAGGTCACGCC